TATGCATAATTTGAAACTAGTCAATCAAATAAATCTTTGTCGTATTTTAAGGGAAAATAAAAACATATTTTCTCTATTAGAAATTCGTAAAAAATAAAGACAATTGGCATTATCGAAGAATTGTGCATTAATTGATAATCATGGAAATATATAGTGTGTTTCAAAACATTGTAGAAAAATTAAGGGTGTGATCCTTTGGCTTATTCTAAAAAAAAATGTTCTTATTAACATGGGGCCGCAAACGCACCGTTTTCGAGATAAATATTTTTTTATAATGTTGCCACTTTCTTTCATGTTTTCTATCATAAAACGCCATTTATCTTGAAAACGGTTCGAATTAGAGCTTATGATTAGTACATTTTTTATGTAGAAAACATTGGCGGTTTAAATTATGCTTTCAGAAAGCCAATTTTTCCAGAGTCGTAAAAATTAGAAGCAAAAGAAACTCATGAATCCTAAAGTCTTGACTTAGAAATCTTATATGAATAAAAATTGAATTAACGCTCAAAAGTAGCTAATGTTAATGATAAAACGTGTACAAAATTTGAGTTCTATATCTAAAACAGTTTCTAAGATATCGTTAAAATACTGAAAAAAAAAATTTTTTTTGACACTATTTCGAAAACGGTGTATTTGCGGGCCCGTGTTAATAAGAACTCTTTTTCTTAGAATGAGTCAAGGAATCACACCCTTCGTTTTCCGAGACGTTTTGAGACACCCTATTTTTTAAATAAAATTAAAAATAATTCACTTTATTAAACAAAAATATTGATCTTTTAACTAGAGGTATATTGATAAGTTGTGAAATGAAACGCATTATACTGCTCTTGACTCTCTAGAACAATCACCCTATCTCTGATTATTTGCGAATTATTATTATCATTATAATTTCGATCGCGATACATTTTTGTAAGCTAAGCACTTTATTTCACCGCATTTAAACGTGGATAATCTCGTCTAATTATAATTAAATTAAAATCACATTGATATCTGATATCAATCTCGAGTCTGAGTGGCAAAACTGAAATGCCTATTCTTCTAAATCGGTTCGAACAGTATCGAAAACAACTAAAAGTAAATTAAAATCTACTTAAGATTAGATTACGCAAGTGAAAAAAGTATTGAAAGTGATAATTTCTTTTGTTTTTGAGAGGCATTGGTTTATAAATAGAAAATAAATTCCAGGCGGTACAGATTTTGGAATTCGGAAAATTTTATACCTAATAGACAAATTTTTCTCTGTTGAACTGAACTTTCTTATAAAATTGTATAATTTTTTGCCGAGCAGATTATAAATTATTTATTTTGCCATTAGACCAAGTTTGTGGAACTTGCTTCCAAAAACTAATAATTTAAACTAAATTTTCAACTACTCTCTGCTATACTGATATATTTTAAATTAGCTTCTAAATATTTTCTGTCATTGCCTTTACAAACTATGCTATGTACCACATTATAATTTATGTTTTCGATGTTGCACAGGATGTTTTCTAAGTCTACGTCGTCATAAGAGCTCGAGATTGATCTATGAATCAATTTAGATAAAAAATTTCAACAAACAAGAGGTCGGAGTCGGAAAGCACTGATTTTCAAGAGATAAGTTTGTTGAAAAATTACTCATGTAAAAATCTACCTAGATATAGACGACGTCGGTTAACAAAATATACGTTAGTGATTTAACCAGTCCCGCATCGACCAAGGGGTCGTATCCCTACAAAGTTTTGTGCCGTACCAAAAAATTAAAAGAAACAATTTATTTTAGTGATTCTCCTACAAATGTATAATATATTGTTTTCGCTGTTGTTTTAGATACATTTATGCAGAGTGATTCTCAAATTATCCAAAAAAAAATTTGGGAGTAGATGCGGCATAATAAATGGAGTCAATATCGTAAAAAAATTATTGAAGTTGTAGTACTTTCAAGCATTACATCTCTGGGTAACTGTAGTCTCTAGCGTCATTCGCAATACGCATGGATAGCCACGTGGACCAGCGACTCCGAATACTGAAATCCGATTTTACAATCATTGGTGCGATAGTGTTTACACTAGTTTTTTAGTAGTTAGTGTCAAAAATGGCTCGCGTGTATAGCAACTCGGAGTTGTTGGATATCGTTTTATTTTGTGGTGACATTTGTATTAGTTCGTAGAAACTGAGTAAGATGGACACAAATGTGTTTATAGTCGGCGGACAAAATTTTGAACAGTTGTTGTAAAATCAGTTTATTAACTAATAATAACAATAGCGACAAAAGCAGTTGATATTGCTGATATAAAATAGGTGCTATAAAATTTTATTTAATTCTTTCCTTGCGAAATTCTTTCAAGTTTTTGTCGGTTTTTATCACGGTTTGCCGCCATGCCGGTCGCATTGTGCGAGGTCGGGGTTTACAGTGGACCAGTTGCCAGTGCCAATTATATTATTAATAAATTTCATCCTGTCCTAAATTTTCCTTCCACTGGGCTTATCTAACTAAATTAGTATATATTTCTGAAAATACGTAAGTGCCCAAATTCGCAGTAAATTTATCTTTTTCTGTTATTATAAATTATTATTATTATTATTATTATTATTATTATTATTATTATTATTATTATTATTATTATTATTATTATTATTATTATTATTATTTATTAAAAACACAATCATTAGTATGGAAATATTTTTTTTTTTTGGTAGAGTATGGCTATCCTTTTCTAATTTCAAAATAAGATTTATTTACGTTATATTTTTTTTAACTTGCTTTTGAATAATATTAGGTACATTTTATATTTAACAAAAAAAAAATTCTTTTTTTCCCCCTTAAAACCAGTAATTTTAAAGTTAACTGTAGATTTATTATACAAAATTTATAATTTTTTTTTCTGAAATCGTGTTACCATAACATTTACTAAAATTGTGGAATTGTTTGTGACAATTTTTTCTTTATCTCCATCGTTTTAATGTATTTGTATACAAATTCAGTGGATTGTTACTTTTACTTAATTTAATAGTTACTCAAAGAAAACTAATTTTCGAGATCCTTAATATCTTATTGTCATTGAAGTTATTTATTTATAGAAAAGTTTTAGTTTTTCTGTGTCAGATAATTAAAAAAGAAAAGTAATTTCTAGTTTTTATAATCAAGAAAGATTGATTTTTTTGAAACGTCAATTAAGTATAATAATTGAAGTGCATAGTGATGTACCTAAGTATATTTTTTTATTTGTTTTCTCAGTGAGATATTTTTCGTTAGACAAAACTAGTTTATAATAATAATCCTGATTTGATTCTTTTGGGGTTTTGCAAGGGTTTATTTAATTAAATTTTTCAATTTTTTATGTGGCAAAATAATCGATAAACAGAGAAAAATGTCTCAATAATATAACTAACATACCAATCATAGAAGCTGAATTATGCTTTCCTTTAGATAGCAAAAAAAAAAATTTAATAATTAAAATATATGTTTAGATGTCTAAGAAATTAATTAATATTTTGCTGGTATTTTTAGAATTACCTACTTCAAAATTATTTTTATAATGATTTTAAATTTGTTTCTAATAAAATACAACTTACTTCGTAATGTGAATATTTAAGTAGTTTATATTTATCTGAATATCAATATTGAAATGTGAAGATGGTACAAAATATGCGACGTCATATTTTAATAACTAAATATTTTGGTAAATTTTTTCTGGATACAAATATTTAAAAATCTGTCGAATACGTTTTCTAATTTTTTTTGCAATTGCATATTATGTTTCTTTTTAGAAGTTATTGACAGTATACAAAAAGAGTATTATTAAACTGAAACAGATTTACAACCTGTGACCAGATGTAATTATCTAGTATATTATTTAAAAAAAGAAACTCAATAGTTTAAAATTATGATTGAGTTTTATATTCAACTTAAATATCTTTATACCCTGGAAATTTAAGGTCATTATTTTAATACTAGATGTTTCAGTTATTTAGTTACTATTAAGTAAACTCAAACTATGGAAATTGACTAACATATAAAACCGTCAACTATTTGTCAATTTTACAAATATACCTTCTAGTAATTTTTAGCAGATATTCAAAAAGCAGTACTAATGAGATTAAATCCCATACGTGAGAAATTCTTATTTAAAATAACTCTATAATATCATAAACTAGTCAAGTATACGCATAAGTTGTCATTAAATATCAACAAACAAAGACTGTCTAGCTAATTAATATAAATAATAAAATTATTAACTACCTTAAATAATCATATAAATATATAAATATACTTTTGTTTTTTTGAAATCATCTATAATCATTGACTAATTTTATATTATAATCAACACATATGTATTTATTTGTTAGTCACTATTTAGTTTATAAAGACAAAATATTGTGCTTCTGTTAGATTCTTCTACTTGAAGATCTTATTAAAAAAACAAATTAATACTACGTTTACGTAATTAATAATTACGTTTTCTTAAATTATTGATGTCTATAAAAACATATTGGTGACCACAAAATAAACTTTATATCATTAATTTCTCCTCATCTGTAATAGGAATATTATTATAACTCTATTTAGATTAGAGAATCTAAATCTATAATTTTAAATGTGTAAAATCATATATTTAGAATACAAATATGTTTTTATATTACATTTTATAGTTATTTTTCTAATTTATCATCGTAATATAATTTATAATAATTTAAAGTCCCTAATTCCTCAAATTAGTTTTAAGATTTGACACTTTGAAACATGATTTTTACTTAACTTCACAATGAAAAGCTATTTGTTGAGTCGATTAATTCATCTTATTTTAAATCTATTCATGCTAATTTGGTGCAACAATTCAAGAATTACAGTACTGAATTTAATAGCACGTACTGCTAAATATAAACAAAATTCACGTTCTATTCCACATTAGAAAAATATTAGCTCTGGAATGAATGCCAATATTTTCCTTCTTTCTATATTCAGTCCTGCTCTTCATGATTTGGTGTTCAATCTTGTATCAATAACTGTTATAACTTACATAAGCACTGCCACAGAAGTTGGAATTGTCGTCGTAGTCCTTAAGAGCACGTGGGTTCACCCTCCATACGGAGCTCCTGTTTGGAGGATCCAGCATCATCCCATGACCCACTGCTTCTCTCACCAGCAGTCCGACAAAGACAAAAAGCAACTTTGAATTCATAGCTACTACCAGTGGTTATTGTGGTTAATCGAAGAAATTCAAATATACACTCTGATGGGGTAGCCTTTTTCCGTCCTTTTATATTTGTGGTGTTTGATAAGATTACCGTCAAACGCCTCACCACTTGAAGGCCTCCTCATAATGGGTATTTTATCGGATCTGATAAGGATGGTGTTATTTTCGAAAGGACGGAGATGGGCCGACGTGCCGCTGCTCGTACGAGACGTTTTAAAGTTTGAAAATGTGAATTGAATACTGCTGAAGAAGACCCAGTAGGAGTAATAGTTTGAGGATTAACCTTTTTCCATTAATTTTGCTGTATTTTAAGGTAGTTACCAATGCTGTTTTTCAATATATTATTACTTTCTTTTTACACGAAAGTTTTTTGTTAAATTCTTTCATGTTAGTGATATATAGTTGCACACATAGTAGAGCTTTTCTTTCTATAATCAAAGCCTGGTTTAAAATTCGGAGTTTTTATTGTTACTATTATGCATATATAAAATATGTGTTGTACACGTATGTTGTCTGAAATTAATTATTTGTGCCATAACTTTCGTTTTTTTCTTTACTTTTTGGGGTATTGCCACTTGTGAAAACAATTGAGAATTATTGAAATAAACCCTAGAGCCAAAAGGATCAGTCAAGGACAATTTTTATAAAAATAGTTTTGCCTAACCAAAAATTGTCATACTGCAAAAATCAGACAAATATAAAATACAAAAAAATATATGGCGGACTTTAAATAAGCTATGGAAATAGACAACAACAAACAAATTTAAAGATAACAGATAAAAGCAAGCAAAATTCAACTGCCAAAGTAACTAGAACGAAAATTCAAAATAAGTTCAGATGACGAAAACAGATAGATTTTCGTAACATTAACAATTTTTTAAAGTGCGCGATATAAAGTTTTGTATTTTTGTATTTGTCTGTTTTTTTGTTTGAAATTCTTCGACCAGGTAAAACTATTTTCATGAAAATAACCCTTTACTGATCCTTTTGGCAAAAGGGTTTATTTCACTAATTTTTAAATTTTATGCACAGGTGGCAAAATACCTTCAATTTTATTTATTTTTCACTTGTAAAGGACGTCTTGTCTGAAGTATTTGTATTTAGTATTTGTAGATAGTTCTACTTTTTTCTCTATTTATTATTAAAGGTTATTTCTATTAAATTGTTTTTGCTTAATCAAGAAGCATGGTACTTCTTTTTAAAATAGTTTTGACAAAAAAAATATAGTTCATAGATATTTATCAAATTCTAAGTATGTAGAAAAATATTTTTTTACAAATATTCTTTTAATAAAAAAATAATCAAGGAAAATTTCCTATTCTCAAAATATGGAACTATCAAAAATCTAAATGATAACATCCGTACATAAGTATACAATGACATAATTATACTGCGCTACTTCGGAAAAAGACCGTATGTGCAGTTTTGTGATAAATTGAGATAATTACATTTTCGAAATCTACATCGCATTATACCCATCTATAAATATCAGAAATATCGTTTTTGTTTCTTTAAATTTAAAAATTTGAAAAGTTTAAATTTCTAATATTGTGTCACTCTTATTTTCTTCGTCGCTATACTAGAAAAAAACACCGTATGTGTCTGATGCAAACTTATGTGCATGTATTTCATTAAGAGGTACATAGGAACATTCTCTAGCAGAAGCGTTGAAATACGATGTTTTTAACAAATTAATTTCCTTTGTGTTCACATGCGATGTTTTAAATTAAACAACCATTAAACATTATTTACAATACAATATATTAAAAATTGTAAAACATCCAAAGTAACATGTATACGATGTACATGTTCTGGTTCTTCTATTAATTTATGTTGAAAATTTAGCACATTCTGCACATACGGCATATTTACCTAGCAAAATCTTAAATTTGTTAAGGCAAAACAACATAGGTGACGCTGTTTTTATTGAAATTGCAATATTTTCTAACATTCTTCAAATGCATTAAAAAATATTTGTTTTGCCCAAAAAAATCAAGTTATTACCTTAATTAGTGCCTAATGTCTCGTTGCAATTTTCTCTAAACTGTCATATGTGCACATACGGCCTTCTTCCGAAGTAGGGCAGTATAAGGTATATCTGAACCCTGAAAATATTACTGCGTTCCATTGTTTAGTAATAAATTGCAATAAAAAAAATTCAAAGAAGTAGAATAATTGGTTTCTGAAGAAACAAGTCTTGGCATATCGGCTTTGAGGATTTCAAAAAATTTTCGTGTCGAAAGAAATATTAAAGAAAACGCATGTCACTACTTTAATTTAACTAAAACTCTTAACCAATCTTAGAATAGTCCTAAATTCTCATCAGATGAAGTCGCATATCCTTTTTTATAACAAATACATCTATCTATATATTTAGTAACAATAATAACAATAATAAATCTATAATTAAAGAAGTACATATTATCTCCTATAACAGACATTTAACTTTATAAGGAAGTGCACGAATCAATACCTATATAAATATTATACTTTTAAACAACATTGCATGGTAAAAAAAAGTTTGATACAATTTGAATTGGATTTATTTGTGTTGGAATCGTTACGATTGACAATAGATTTTCCGTAATTTCTAATTCACATTAATGAATTCTTATGGCTATCTTCTTATAAAAATGAAATAAAGTATTTTGTTAAAAGAACAAAGAAAATGTTGTCTACATTATGCTTTTCGATAACAAATACTAGATATTTAGCAATAATAATAACAATAAATCTAAAGATGCGTATCTCCAATTACAGACATTTGACATTATAAGCAAGTGCACAAAAGTAGATATATAAATCTTTTCAAGTCTAAAATTCACGGACAGAAAATTGCTATGAAAATCCACATAATTGTTAAAACAAATTGTTCCAGCTAGAAGTTTTGTCAAACTTACGTACAACGTTATATGAAAATGTTAAAGAATTTATAAATTGTAAGTAACACCTTCACAGTGCATAAATAAATAAAATGTAAATATTATACCTATAAATAACACTACGATAAAAAACTTTTGACAGGATTTGTGACTTATTTTTGCTGCAATTGTTTAGGTTTAATAAACTTATTTTCCGTAAATTATAATTCACATAAATTATTTCTTATGGCTATTTTCTTTTAAAAATTAAATACAAGATTTTGCTGCAAGAACGAAGAAAATATTTTCGTACATCAATAAAAAAAATCAGTGTTATCCCTAAAACATGTTTCTCCAATATTTCCTGCAGAACCTCAAATAAACGGACCACATGGGAATAAGTCTTGACCACATTGAAGGCACTAAAGAGATGTCTAGCCAATTAGCTTCAATGTTTATTGTACCGTAATAGCTATATGAGGGTTGGAGTTGTCAAAGATTAAAATATATTAGATGAATGGCCACGATTTTGCTCCAATCTAAACTTTAGCAGGAAATGCGTAGAAAATATTAAAGTATTTTACGTGCGGCAGCAAAAAAAATTTTCTGTCGTAGATCTTCTACAAAAATGACCTTCTTTCATTTTTTCGATGATTTTACCCGTTGCATAAAATTGTTCGGAGCAAAATTGTTACAAAAGTGAGGTGTATGGACAAAACGTGTTTGCCGATCATGTATTACCCACATAGATCTCACAATCAATTTTATAACAATTTTAATGGAAACAATTCAACCCGACGGACAAAATTGTCTGCTTTAATCTGCAATTTATTAGTGGCACTTTTTTTGTTAATGTTTTTATTTAGCTTCATACTTCTATCGCGCTGAAAAAGATTTTAAATAAATACACCCTTGTGCCAATAGAGCCAGTCACGAGTTTTGCTTTACATATTAGTTTTGCTTAAACACGAATATATTATTCTGAGAATGTCAACATTTGTTCACAATTACATTTAAACATTGTATCACGTTTTTAATATCTAGAAAACCTCTATTTTCATTATGAAAACTCAACCAAAGTAACTTAAAAGTAAATATGACAGGTTTTTCTATTTTCCGTAGTTCTTGTTATACTGCATATAGATATTGTTTGAGGTTATTAATTTGTGTTATAGTTTTAGTTTTTTCTTTATGTATTTGGTAGTAATCTGGCAAAAAATTAAGTTAATAAAGTAAAGTAAACCCTTCAGTAAAAAGAATTAGTCAAGAGTTATGTTTATGAAAACAATTATTCCTGACCAAAAACCTAACATTAAAAAAAATATATAGTGATGTGGAGGTAATCCGTTTGTCTGCTTTTGTGAGATTTTTTTATTCTATTTTCAAAAAAAATTCTGTGGCAAGAGTCATTTCAGTCATTTTTAAATATTTTTCACAGGTGCAAAAATAAAAAACTAAATAAAGAAAATATTCATGTCATACGTTTTTTTAATCTATTTTGTTACTTCGTCGTTGAAAACATTCAACCAACAATTTAAAGTTGCAAGGTTTGATAAACATATTTACCATCATTTAGAAAAATAAACGGTGACTTTTAGTTTTCTATTTATCGAAATACTTTCTCTTAACAACACTTTTTTGTTATTCTATGAGTTATAATGCTTATACCTAATATATCAATGATCAGTGATCACAATCTAATTTCTCTATATAACACATCTAGTTAGGCAAAACTAAACTTATAAAATCAACTGTTTGATTGATTACTTTGTTGCAAGGAGGTTCTTTCCCTTTCCTTTCAATAGCAGATATCCCTAACTAAATAAAAACAGTAATAAATCTGTTCGTAAAATATATTCGTTAGTTGCTTTAGTTTTTTGCACCAATTCGGCCATAGTTGGGGTTGCTTCCTTAAACTTTGCTTGTCAACAGCCGTTTCATTTACGTGAGATCTCAGCTAATTAGTCCAATAGATATTAACTCAAATATACAAAACAGCTAAATTCAAAATATCCTAATTTAGCTAGAAATTGTGTGAATCTTATTTATCGTCTGACAAAAATTTTTAGCAAGTGTCTTATGTGAAAGATTGAGTTTGATACAACTCTTAATATCTTTCAAATTCATATAACTGTACTGAAATTTAAAGTAAAATTTCCATTTTGTACATACCCACCTACATTTT